GTTGCTTATTCTCCTCTAAAAATAGCCAGTATTCCTTACTATACTGTCCTGGTTAATACATCTTCTAAGCATTCTGTTTGCTGCTCCTACTTCTACTTTTCCATTAGTGCCTTGCTCTTAACCCTACCAGGCCCTCAGGCCAAAGTAAATTCACCCAACAGTAAAGCCTTAACTACAGAAGACACAATCAATCACTTTCAGCAACTGCTTCAGCCTCTTGGGCAATTTTCAGGTGTTTCCACAGCTGTTCTTATTCTGATTTTTACTTCTCTATTATTTGTTCAGCATAGCTATTTTCTCTGTTGTTCATGAAAATGTTTAGAGCTGAGTGTGTATGATGCTCTACTTCCTTTATTTCAGTTTCACTAATTCCAGCTTATTCAACCTTCCGAACAGCTTGCTGGAAACAGACTACAGTCACAGCAACAACTATGAAAATTGGTTAAAAGATAGTAACATCAGTTAAACCAGCACTGTTCAGGCCAGTTTGGTATTACTGCTTTAACATTTGAGGCTTTCTAGCTCTGCAAAGTTGGGTTTGGTTTGTCTTTTGGGGGGGGGATGGGGTGGGGGGTGTGTTTGGTGGTAGTTGTTGGTTTGGGGCTTTTTTTTTTCTTTTTTTTGACCTGAAGATTGGCAAAATTGATTTCCAACTTCAGCTCCTCCATACAGCAAGAATTATCCACAATTTCCTCTGCTGTTAAATGGCTTATTAGGTTTTGGTAATTTGGACTCCCTGTCAACTTACTATATACTCATCTTGGTGTGGCAACTGTGTTCTAGTAACATCTTTATTTTGCATCTTTTCCTTACTCCATTTTTAAATTCCTTAACTGCAACACTGAAACATATATTACTAAACAAGATGAAATGCTTGAGAACACTATGAGACTGATGGTAATTGTTGCCCAATACATAAAGCTGCTACAAAATACAAAAAAAAGATCATTATACAATTGGTTGTTTGTTGACTCCCATCTACTTCAAGTCATCATTAATGTTATTTCATATTAAGAAATAATTATCTTCTCTTGTATAGCATAGTTTTATTTGTTTGAATTACCTTCAAAAAAAATCATTGACATTAATCTACTCCAAGGATTTTGACGTTATGAAATCAATATTGCTACAGGATTTATTTTAATTAAGCTCAATACTTTGTTGTTTAAGTAATGATACTTCCCCCATACCACTGTGCTGAATTTAAAGATATTAAAGACAGAAAAGTCTAAAACACTATTACAGTCAAGAACAAAGGTAGTAACAAAATTAAACTATCTTCTACTGAAACATTATTTCCTACCCATCATAATCTTTAAATTCCATTATCAGAGTTGCAAATGATGTACACAGTTTGACATGAAGCATCACTAATACTATACTATGTTGCAGTTGTCTTCAGACAAGATGGAGACAGCAACCAAGTACAACTACAGCTGCCCCAATGCAGGAAGAGCAATACAAAGAATTTGAAAAAAAACTGGTTCCAGACCAAACTAGAACAGTTAAGTAGAAGCCAGAAATTATCTTTTACTCAGAAAGGAAGAATGTGGACACAAAAGAAAAAGTGGTAAAAAGTATTTGCTTGAAACTTTAATTCTGTTGCATGTGCCTCATCTTATATAAGAACAGTTAATATAAGGGTGAATTAGTAACTAAAGAGAATCGGACATCTGTATAACGAAAGGATTATCTAGAAAATGTATTCAGCTAGGAGAGTTTATTCAACATTTCTTAGGACACGTAGAAGCCTTACATATTTCTAGTCTAGGAGAGGAATTCAGCCCTACTGCCCAGGGCCTCAAAGAGCAATTCCAAACCCTTAATGACACTGTAACTTGGTATGCTATACTTATTACTTACATCCCCCTTACACAGGCTCTACATTTTTTCTTATGTTCTGCAGTGCACAATCCAGGGCATCTTTTGTCTTTCTTTTGCAAGAGAATCACCCATCCTTACTCAACTCTTGCAAATAGCAAACACTCAAAAGATCTCACAATGAAGAGAGATCAATAGTGTGTAGGATTCACTTCAGAAGGGGGCATAAGGACGGTACAGCTCAATGTGATCCCAAAAGCCTGCAGACAGCTTTATTCTTCCTGTTTTTCTTTGGAGAAAAACATGAAAGAAGCAGTACTGTATGATCTTGCATGTCCAGATAATGACCAGTATCTCACTGAACTATGGGAATAGGAAAGGAATTAGTCCTATAGAACTTGAAATACAGTCAAAACTAAAAAAAGTTTCATCTTGAAGACATGTAAACTAAATACAAAATAATAATAATAAAAAAAAAAAAAAGAAAAGGTTTGGCCTTTTTCCTTAGGGAAAAAAACGAGCTTGTTCGGCCAGTCTGCCTCAAGTTGTCCTTTTTATTTCTGAAGATAAACATTCTGACTATACATCATCTTGCTAAAAATCCAAGAGGAAGTGGAAAGGGAAATCAGTAATTCACATCCACAAGGAAAAAAATCATTAGTAATCCAGATTCATAAAGATGAGAAGAAACACACTTTACTACTGAAATAGTCTCCACTCACCCAAGTGAATTTCAAATGGAAATCCATTTTGGAAATGTCCCTGTATGTGCACTGTTGCTATGAAGTGTAATTAGGCTTTTTAATATCTGGAGTATAAAAATAACTGATTATTCCAATAAATTAGTAACTTATTCCTATCTCCAACACTAGCTTGCTTTTCTGAAGTGCATCTCAGAAAACCAAAGCATTGCTACTGTATGGCAAGAATGAGTCTGAATCTTCTCTCCTACATAATCTCAAATTTTATTCAAGTTGGATAGAGATAAACTAGAAACCCGACACTTATTTGGGGAACAGTAATAGCTTCAGGCTTTCTACCATGTGAAAGAACACTTCTGATTTTCCATGCATACATTCTGGAGCATCTTTGGAATCTTCCAACATCCACAGTTCCCTCAATCTCACTATAATTAGCTAGTACTACTTTTTTTCCTTACGCTTACCCTGATGATTTAAAGGTTTACAGCTTCCATCATAAAAGTTTTCTATTCGTATCTGTTAATCCTAACAGAATTTTCCAACTCTCAAGCATCCTGAAACCTAATTCGATTTAACAGCCATTTTTAATAATAATTGAACAGATGCAATAGGCAGTGCCAAAAACCCAAGTTCACTTATATATTAGTTCATTAGTATGTACTACACATGCCTGTATCAATGAGGCATAATTTTCAGAAATGAGAGCCAACAGACCTTTAACTGTTGTGCACATAATGAGCACTGCCCAAACCTCTTATGCCTACACATCATATATAAAGGTGTTAATGAAAGTGCTTTTCAACTGATGCTATATTTGGACAACAGTTAGCTCTGGGGTGGTGTTTTTTTCTAAAGGGGGAAAAAAACTCTCAAACTAATCAGGATTAGAGAGTTCCCCCAACTGATTAAGTTAGTAAATGAGACAGAATATTTTCAAGACAAAGAGCTGTCTGACACCATCACAATGAAAAGCTACTACTAATGTAGTCTCCTGTTTTGGAGGTTCAAAACACACCCATCCAACAGTTCCAAAACCCAAGTGCAATACTAAGATCCACAGAGTACACCCATGGCTACTTCAGACGTACTGGGGGTTTCGTGACCTACCAGGTCATCTTGAACATGCCCCTTCAGTCATAGTATTCAGCAACACGAGAGAAGTAGAAGAATGAACAGACACTTGACAAAATTAATTCTGTATCACACGGAAGTTTGACCTCTGTGTTTAAAAAACACTATTTTTAGTGTTTAAAAAAAATTTATTTGCTGCATAACAGTTTGAGAATGAATATAAGGGTTTCAAATTTTGCCCATTTAAAGTGTCTTTTTCTTATTACCATTTCTAATCCTGACTATAAACTCAATCTAATGTGCTAAAGATCTCTTCAGTAAATGAATAAATTCTGAAGATCTGCCTCCTCTAGCTGTCTTCTGCTCTTAGACTGACAATGTGCAATGTGAACAGGTTTAAGTTCCTTTTTTTCCCCATACCTCCTACTTAACATTGCAACATATTTTGTTAATTAAAAAAATTGTCTCTCCTGATCTTGGGTAACTTTTGAAAATGTGTTCTGAGTAAGTGTGCTTACACAGCATCTGTCACTATAACTTTCCTCTCAGCCAGCATCTATTAACATTCACTAAGCACCCAAAATCACTAGGTCATTTTAATACCACCTACTACTTTCTTCACAAGATGATCTCAATTTTTCCTTGTAATACGGAAAATTTTTCCTCCACCGAAAAAAAGGTAATTTATTTTTATGATTTTATAATACTACAAAAGTGGTGGTAAAAAATCAGCACAAGATGTGAGTTAATGGCAAGGGATGCACTACAGAGCCACGCCGAGTCACCTTGCTCTGAGTGAGAATACAGAGGAGAAGGGCGCTCTCAGGGCAATTCTGGTCCCTGCAAAAGGCTTTAAGTCATTTGCTGGGCAGACTGCAGTTTATATTATCAGGAAATGAGAAAGACAACCCATCTTCCTGTTTCACTGTGTTTATTTTTTCCCAGTATACTGACAGCAAAGTTTTTTGGTACTGCTTTCCTCAAAGGTCTTGTTCTTTTTGGAAGGTATTTAATGTGATGATCTAAAAAACATGTCTTCTCAAAGTATGAGAATCATCTCAAAGTGAAATATAAAAGCATGTCATATTCCCTCAGCCTTAAAGTGAGGCATTCTTATACCTAAAGAAGTTGAAAAACCTAGTGTTTGCCACAGTTCTGCATTGTCTTTTAAAGGTGATAAGAATTTCCTGTATCTACATCTCAAACAAAAAAAAAAAAGATTCTCTTCTGAGGAATAATTCGATCAGGGATGAAAGATTTTAAAGGTCACTAGAGTATTACAAAGTAATATCTAAACCTCATCTTAGGATGCTGCTCTGCAGGCTTACTCCTGCTGCTGCAGTATTAATTGTATTTCAGAGGTAACTTCTGGAAATGGAAACAGAACACTTGCATACAAATACTTACTGCAGGTATCAGTAACTTTTTTACTTCTTCAACAGCCCTCTTCAGTTTTATTTCTGCTCTGTTCTGAGCATCCTCCACAGTGATAAGTACATGTAAATCTTCATTCAGGTGTTCCCAGTTGGGTTTGCCTCGGTTCTGTTCTTCCTAAAGAAAAAAAAATTAAAACGTGTAAGCTGTAAAGCACTATTAGATTCTGTATAAAACAATCACAAACAGTAGACAGACTCAATTCTGTGAATAGCACAAACTGCATTTTCAAGAAGATGGGAAAAGACTTCATACTGTAGAGCCTATTATGTTTTCTGTGGTTACTTAACAAGAACTTAGGCTTCTTTTGGGGGATTTCGTGTTTTGGAACCTCATACTTCTAAAAAGTTATTTATTTTGTAGTCTACAAAACAAAGGTGATTTCTTAGAGTACCTTTCCACACTGAACAGTGGAACAAGAAGTACTACAAACACAGTATAGCTTCAGTATTCTTTGGTGACTTTCAAAGGTTAAACAGATAAAACATGAAGGTTAAACCACCAAGTATTTTTTATGAAAAGTGAAACAGACACCACACATAGAAACTCCATCTGAATCACTCCAAAGGACAAGAGAGCAATTCTTCAGTGTTAAAAATCACTTTTAAATACTGATGAAGAAAAGATTCAAGAATCAAACATTACAAAAGGAACAGAAGTTGCAATTTTCAAAGCAGAGCTACTGGATGAAGTGCAGAGAGGAGGAGATGACAAGGCCTCAATACTGAAGTCACAGAGAGCATGTAAGAAGACTGTCACCATTACACAGGTACTCTGTTACATCAGTGACATTCATTATCCCAAAGATAAATCTTAGGGATATTTCTAAAAAGGGAGAGCATACTAAACATTTTTTAAATGTACATTTAACATTTTTAAACAATAGATATCAGTAACTTCAAGTAATACATTCCAGTATCCAGTCTTTCAAAAAATAATGAACACAACACAGAAGAAACTTACCAACTCTGCTTTTATTAAACTGTGAATAAGGCTAGCTAAGTTTCACAGAAGCATAATTTAAATTTGGCAATATTTAAAATGAAATTAGTAAAAAAAAGGCAGGGTGTCAAAATTTTAGGGAATGAGAAAGATTTATTATAACTTTTTAATCTAAACAAAGGCCTGCATGAACAAAGTACACTTATTTAAAACTTTAAATTTTTGTCATAATAGAAGGCCTTTCTGTTTTTAAAACAAACATTCATGGCTTAACCACAATTCACTTTAAAAAAAAAAAAAAATGAAGGCAAGCAAAGTTAATTGCAAATGTGTTCTTGTCCCCAAATTTCATTAAAAATTTTCCAGGAAATCAGACATGCAGAGGAATGTTTGAAGATTTAATACCAACAAATACTTGCAGTAGTTTATATTCATATATACCTGAGGGAGCACTGTTCCTTAGAATGTTCCATCTTTAATGCAGCTGCTTTAAGTTTGAAATGTTTTGTAGAACAGGATAAAAACGTGGAAAAAATAGAATGAGACATGTATGGAAAATTTATATATAAGAATCAGTACTTTGAAAGAAATTTCTTTTCACTATTCTTCATGTAACGTGCACCTACGCACTACTCTCTACGATCAGCTATAGTGTTGCTGGCTTTTTAAAAAATGTTATTTTAGCCAACTTTCTAAATAATGGTGGCTATGAAAATCTCTGTGAATTCCAGAAGTTTAAAGAGGAAAGAATAACCCTCGTTTATAAAACAGAACCTGACACAAAGTGCAGCTGAGTTATAACATGTTCTCTGCTGTAATTTCATCTCTGAAAGAACTATCTACCACAAGGTATTTGCAGCTAATTTCACTCAATCATGATCAAAACCCCACTGTTACTATTTAAGCAATTCAATTTTGTTTTGTTTTTACTCCAAAGCAGAAGCGAGTTGTTTTCTTTAAAAAAATGGTGACAAGCTATATTAACATGAGGTAGTAAGAAGTATTATGCCACAGGTATGGTAAGTGAGAGAAGGTTCCTATACCAGCAGAGGGCAGAGCAAGAAACATGCCACTATCTCTTCCTGCAGTGATGGATAGTGAGTGAGCTGACACAACGCTGGAAAGGCGAAGGGTACTGGCTACTAACACATGATAACCTGTGCAACAACTGTAGTATCACCGGGAAAAAAAAAAAAGGAAAGGAAAGGTGGCCCCAGGTAAAAGGCAAGTTCTGTTCCTAAAAGAGAAGGAATGCATAAATGCAGTTTTAGCTACCGTGTGAGCATTAAGTGGCATGCTTATATACAGTGTGGGCAAACGTAAAGGGGCCTCACTGCCCTGCATCTATTTCTTTCATAATTAAAACAGTACGGTGCAAAGACTCAAAAACTTGGAAGATTTGGAGGCATTATCACTTGTCAGCACTGAAAAATAACACATATATTGTTATAGTGGATGTATGCCTGATCTGTAACTTTCTGAAGACAAAAAAATACATAATTTCTTACATAAAACAAGGTAGCCTGCCTCTGTGTTAGTATTTAAATATTTCAGATTAATGTAATCTCAACTGTATGTGCGGTACTTCAAATTATTCTGTTGAAGCATGAGGATTTATTTTGTTCAGTTTAAAAAAAGCAAGCTGCACATAGAACAATAAAAAGATGATACTGGAGATTTGTTTTTTCCACACCTAATTTACTTCTAGGCAGAACATGTGTGTAAGGTCAATACTCACCCATATTATTAAGGTCAGACCTCACAGGACAATCAATCATACAAATATTTAAGATAACTGAACTAGTATATGACTAGTTCTATATATGCTCTTCCATGGTCATGAAGTACATTAATAGAAGTGTTGTTGTGTAGAGAGTACTAATGCAGAAGTGAAATGGTAAGACTGAAAGAAAGGTTAAGAAGAAAAAAAAAAAGGTCTATGAAATATGTTTTGAAAAAACAATTAGTCAAAAAAAATAAGATAGATTTTGAAATGGGCTTCCAGTTTCTTCTGTTCTACCTCAGTGTACTGGGGCTTCTAATTCCTCCACTGCTTCCATTCTTGTCCCATGAGATCGCTTTCTTAGTGGGTTAACAGTTTCCAAGAAATGTCTTTTGGTTTATCAAAAATGTTAGATGTTATACCAATATGTACATTTGATTATTTATTTGTGGTTTTGTTTTTAACAAAACAGGAAAATTCAGATCTACACTAGGTCATTCATTCTAACAGAAAGTCAGATGGAAAACGTATGACAGGGTTAGGCTCATGGGAGGAGAGAGAACTTGCAACCTCTTGCAGTTAAGATCTGACATTTCTTATGCTACCTCATTCTTCTATTAGATCCTGAAAGGATGGTTTAGAAAAACATATTTACCCCCCGAGTAAAATCTTTACTTAAATTAAACTAGTCCTCTTTGCAACAAGTTGTGAAAGCATCTGTTCCCAACCCTGTTTTATTATAGAAAAGGCTGAATGGGTAAGAAAGAAACAGCACTAAGAAAACCAGAAAACCTGAATAAAAGACTCGGGGAAAAAAGAAATTCAATTGCATATATTCAAAATTGTATTACACACACAAGATGTCATTTAGAGCATGAAGTTTTCCTGCATCCCAGAGATTGTTTATGGAAGAATTATGCAGGAAAAATGGAGGCAGTGAAGACAGAAGGAACTACAGAGTAAAATTATTTATGTCACAAACTTGGAGAAAAACAATATTAGAAAAGCTTAATTATAACCAAACTATCTTGTCTGCTAAATTAAAGAACATTAAGAGTAACATAACTGGCAAATGAAATTTCACTGTGCTCCCTGTTTGGCAGAAATTTCAGTATCTTTAAATATAGCCTAATTCTGTAAACCGATTTTGCTTTCATTCTGTTGCTTGTGTGTATACGCTCATTATACTCAGGGTACCTATACAAAATAATGGATTTGAAGAAACTACTCAATATTTATCCTCCTGTTAAGGTCAAAGGATCAGGTAGTTTTTTTAAAAAAAAAATCTTGATACAACTGCTCAGAATTTAGTTGCAGAAAAATAAAATTAACATGATTACAGGATGGAGGGGACACACACACATGTTTTTCCCTATTTATTTTTTATTTTCCTAGGAAGGGATTTAGAGGGGAGCCAAAATGCAGGCAGAGGATGCAACTGACCTGCATGTATACAGCCAAGCTTTAATATTAGAAAAGTTGTTCCATAAGGAGAAATATTTAAGTCCAGCTCCTGGTTGGGTTCTGTGTTTTCCATACATCTCACCATACCACAGTAACTCCAAGTTGTGGTCTTACGCCTCCTGCATCCCAGCCCTTTAAGGCCGTTTCTATTTACATCTTCATATTCCATCCCAAAGTCTCCTTTCTTAATACAGCTGTTGATTCAACAAGAGACAACAGCTTGATAGCTTTCTGTAAGCTACTCAAAGCAGATGACTGAAACTCAATACTAGGCCTCTCCTCTATCTACCCATTAATTTTAAAAAAATTTTAAACCCAAAGAAAAGAAGTGCCTGTCAAGCTTGACTGAAGTTGTTCAGAAGATTCAAATGGTGACAGGGAAAATATTTTCAGAAAGAAAGCCATCACAAAAAAAAACCCCACCACCACCAAAAAAAAAAGTTTTTTTAAAAAATATCACATTTTATTTCTCACCATGAAGGCCTGAAGACATTCACAGTATAGCCAATTGACTAAAATTAAGTTGATGAATTAAAAACTGCTGAAGTAGAATCCAATCATTTCTAGCTGCCATTAAAGGAAAATGAAATAAACACTGAAAATACGTATTTTCCTAGTATCTGTTTATATTGTCTAATATATCCCTGCCTGCATAAAGAAAGAATGAAAGAAAGAAAGAATGCAATACATAAGAGTGGAAGGAAGTTTTCCACATGGCATTTTTTTTTCAGAAAACATGGCCTATGGTATTAAAGTGCAACTCTCATTTTACGCACTTTTTCCACTCAATTCATACAATTTCCAGAAATGTTGGCCACTAGAAAATTGAAACAAAGCTCTGTACCAACAGCAGGGGCCTTTTAAAGAAATACAGCCACTGGCTCAAGGAAATGTTAAGAATGATCCTTTGTGCCCTCACTCATCTTGAAGTGATACGTTACTGAATTCTGTTTTCACTAACCTATTAAAACAGGCTGCTCTTCCTACT